GTATAAACACATTTCATTACACCAAATACACAAAATAATGTTCTTTTTAGCAGCATCATATGACCCCTTTAAATCAAATATAATTTCACCCTAAATTATTATATTATTTTCTAAATAAAATAATTATATATATATATATATATATATAATAAATGTACCATCAAATATTATATACTTTTTACTGTATATGGTAATGTAACTTACAGTAAAGCTGACATATATTGACTATGCATACAGTGCTGGGTAGTAACTGATTATATCTGGTTATATTTTTCATTTTTTACTTGTATTTTCTTTACTAAAAAAGCCTATTGCTTATATATATTCAGAATGTTTTCCAGTTTTGTGGAATTGCACACATACACAGTAGTCACAGTAGTCAGACGACTTCACGGCATAAACAAATAAAATGTTCATGTTTTTATTTTAAAATTATTTCTTTCTTTCAATTTAACATTTTTAAGATTTAATTAATTATTAGCTTCACTCCTTCACAAACCCCAGTTTGGGAAACCATGACATAATATAATGTTTAATGCACTTTTAATGCACATGTAATTTTGTTGATAACAAAGAATGGAATACATTTATATCTATATGGTTCAAGATTATCGTAGGAAATCAATCAATGTAATAAACGAGTTAGGTCAAAATTTTTTAAAATAATCAAAAAATAGTCAGATTATATTGGTTAAATGTAACATTAAATTACTAACCACAAGTTTCATCTAGGCATCATGGGCTGATTACCGGTTTCAAGGTATACCGCTAATATTTTCCGGCAATACTGTTCCTGCGGTATGCGTTTTTCATGTCTCCTCAAAGACCGAAAGTGTAGGGATCCCTCAGGTTGAGTGCAGTGTAGAGAGTAACACGACCCTCCTCCTCCTGTTGGTGCAGTCAGTCATGTGTGTGTATGACGGCCGAAGGAGCTTCCCCTGGAACTTACGCGATCGGCAACCAGATGTTTTTTTGTTTTATTGCAACTTGTCTCTGTTCTGGACTTGCACAAACTGCGTTGCAATGCAATCATTTTCCAAAATGTAATTTATGTGAAAATATGAAGTCTGTAAACGCCCGTTAACACAGGCCAGAGACGTTGAAGACGGACGCACAGAGAAAAATACTGTAGCAGGCAGATCACTCACTGTTCATGATGCACGAACTATTGGAAGAAAATCCTCAATATTGATTTGGGGGTTTATACACAAACTTTTGGAAGAAAATACTAAATATTGATTTGGGGTTAATATGAATGTGTTTCTGAGGGGAACCGAGTCTTCAGAAAAGTTTACGTGGTGTTTTCTTTTCATCTCGTCTCTGTATAGTTCATATTAAAGCAGTGTTTCAGAGCAGCACTGCGCTACAGTAACATCTTCTGATTTCTCTCACCATGGGGACAGGAGAGCTGTCAATCAATAAATTGGAAAAAAAAGTAACTTGCATTACATATTTGAAAAAGTTGTAATGCTTTATCCCCAACACTGGTCAGAACATTGTTTTTTTCTTCAAATTGGGTTATTATTAAATCAAATTATGTATATGAAATTATATAACTAAATGATATGAAATGATATAAATGATATGTATATGAATTATATAACTAAAATTAAATAACTGTAATTACAGATTTAGGTTAAATAAAGATGTCAGTCTTTATTTTTCTTCTTTTTAGGAAACAAATCAAAGAAAAAATATACAAATACTACTGTTGCAAATATTCTGTATGTTGCTCAAAAACAAAATATATCATGTTTAGCGGAAAAAAGCTAAAGCTTTTTTTTTTTTTTTTTTAACCCAGTCATTTAAAAATAACACATTTTAGAGCTGTAACAACAATACCGTGATACCGTGAAACCGTGATATTTTTGCTTAAGGTTATCATACCATCAAAATCTCATACCGGCCCATGCCTAGTTTCATCATGTAATTTGTGTTCAGTAAAGAACTACAATTTGTTACTAATTTACCAGCACTGTATGTATATCATGGGAAAATGTGATATTACATCTCATCTATAAACGTTTTTTTTTTTTTTTCAGTTTACAATAAGTGCCTGGAATGCAATGAACTCCAAAGCAGCGGGCAGTGATGCTAATGTTACCCAGACTGAAAATACAACAGGACAAGGATCGTCTCAGCAGTCTGACTGCTTTACACTTCAGCTTCACTCTTTAACACCAGGGCAGGAGTCTTGGCAGATGACACCTGGAGAGAAATGGGCTTGGGTGCTGTCTCACAAGCAAAGGGGTGGTCACCGGTTTGGGAAGGGCGATATCTGGGGTGCGGCAGACTGCTACTGTAGAGCGGTGAAGCTGGCAATAACTTTAAATGGCAAGACAAGAAGAAAGCCAGTGGACGAGGCGTCTAAAGAAGGTGTGGATGAAGATGATGATGATGATGCAGCTTTGACGCCATGCTTTGATAAAGAAAATGAGCAGGCAGGTGCTGATGTGTCCATTCCAACTGAGGAGGAGTACAAAACCGTAAAAGCAGAAC